GCATGAGTTGCGTTTTGGCAAATTCTGGCAGGAGAGTTTTGAATCTGCTAAGACCTCTCAATCTTCCCACTGCGCGTTGGACTGCAGATGTGACGTGGTCAGAAAAAGAGAGGTCTTTGTCAAGTACAACACCAAGCGTGTTTACAGTGTCACAGACAGACAATCCCATGCCATCAAGGGTGACTTTAATGTCAGATTTTCTCAACTCCTGCATTAGAATATGTGGTCCAGTATGCATGACAACACACTTGTCAACGTTCAATCCAAGGCCATTCATGGCAGACCATTGAAAAATGCTGTGCAAATCAGCATTGATGAGTTCAATTGCTGCGGATGTCATGTCTGGCTTGTATGACAAGTGTAATTGACAGTCATCAGCATACAAGTGTGCTGTACAATATTTTACACTTCTGGGCAAGTCAGACGTGTATAAATTGAACAGCACAGGGCCTAAACAACTACCTTGAGGTACACCTCGCAATTTGCAAAGCGGATCTGATGTCCCACTCCCAATTTTGGTAACCTGCAGTCGGGACTCCAAATAGGACCGAAACCAACACAACTTTTTCGCTGCAACCATAGTACTTCATTTTTGCCAATAATAATTCATGATCAATAGAGTCGAATGCTTGAGAGTAATCTAAAATAGCTAATGTGCTGTAGAGTCCTTTGTCTTTGGCATCAAATAGATCAGCAAACATATTAGTCAGTGCAGTACACGTGCTGTGGTTTTTTCTAAACCCTGACTGTAGCTTAGGCAGTATATTATACTCATCTAGAAATAAAGTGATTTGTTCGGTTACTATCTTTTCACGATCACGACTTGACTTCACGACACGACACAACGCGACATTTTTGTTGTTATATGTCCTCGTTTACGCGTCAAATTCTGCTTCCATAAGGATTACATTGAAACTTTGGGACCCTGTGAAACGAATCCTGGAAGAATTTGTTAACACCATATAGATGTTGGCTCTAACTGATATACAGTAGTCTTTATCACCATGCAAAATTTGAAAATGATTGCTTCAGCCGTCTAGGAGAAGTTTGTTGTTTATGACAAAATGCATAATTCAACAAATAAGTTGAATAGTCAACAGTAATAGTCAACAGATAAGTCAATAAAAACTAACTAGTGTCAAAGAAGTTACATTGTGTTACTGACGAATCCACACTTTAAAAAAATGCTAACGTTAAAAAAAAAAAAATTGTGTGTCCTTGTGTGTAGCTTAGGCAGTATATTATACTCATCTAGAAATAAAGTGATTTGTTCGGTTACTATCTTTTCCAGTATCTTTGAAATTGCAGGTAACACAGAGATAGGTCTTAGCTGCTGGATGGTTTTTGGCGTAGCAACTTTAGGCAAAGGTTTCACGTAGGCAATCTTCCAACTGCTAGGAAAAACACCAGAGGCCAGGCTCATATTTAATAAATGTGTAATTGCTCCTAATGCATATGGGCTAACAGATTTGATCATTTCTATAGATATATCATCAGCACCTAGAGCTTTTGATTTTATCGAGTTCATTGCCTCCTTAACATCATTTTCTGTAATAAGTTTGAAATTAAACCTATCATTATCTCCGTGTTTTTTATCGTAATTTGAATATCGTCTATATATTTGTTTACTGTCAGTGGATATTTTCCAGCTGATACTATTGATAAAGTGGCTTCATAGCTTTACTAGCTAACCATTTTGTTACTTCATGTGTTTCACAAACCCCAACTTTTTGTTCACTAAGAAACTAATGCTGGTGCAGGTGTGGCTTATCAAAAGAGTTTTATAAAATCCATACAGAACACAAACACAATTAAATACTTAGAAAAGAAGATTCTGCATCAAATATTACTAGGTGGTGTTCGCGGATTCATCCACAAAATTGAGCTTGTCACTGACCGCTGACCCTCACCATATAAGGCCTCATTTTTATTTTTACCTACAATATTTTTAATTGAGGCAATATTTGTGTAGATGATTGTGAAATAATTATTGGAGTTATTAAAATAGTTACAAATTGTTCCCAACGGAAACAAGTAAAAAGCTCACTGATGTCATTAAATGAATTTTCAGATACTGTACCTGCATTTACATTTTAAGTTAAAATCTCTAGTGTGAAGCTGTAATAGAGCACAAATATTAGAACAGAAACGGTATTGTTCATAAACATAAATAAATTACATCACTGGCCCAAAAGTTAATATGTTTGTAAAATCTATCCATCTATTATATTATTAAAGTGATACAATCAAATTTTATGTAAATGGTTAAGGTCATTAACCAAATAAAATTATATGCATAATGCACATCAAAATGAAGCTCAGAGTGTGTAGATTTGCCGAAAAGTATTGTTATGAACAAATTCTCTTAGGTCTCTGTCCCACAGGCCGATTTCCAAAGGGCCTTACACGTTTTAGAAGTTAACATTTTTCTATTAATTTAGTGAAGAACAGCTGGTCAATGCAATTGACAATAGTTTGTTTGTTTACATTTTTGGTTACTTATTTTATTATTTATGTTCTTAAAAGAGGTGAGGTAAATGAACACTGGTGCTAACACTGATGAAACACGATGAATAAGAGATTAACAAAACATGTCTGTTGGTTGATCTTTAATAGGTCGTCGTTAAAGAGCGACGAGTTCAGGTACAACCGTATCCACGTCGACCACCTCAGGACGTAAGGTACTATGAAGGTTCCGCTGCTTTTAACATTCCTTCTAATGACAATTTCTTGAACTTGGGTCCTTTAAATGAAATATAAAGTCAAAGTTAGTTAAATTAATTTAATGGTGGCTTCTGTACACCCGTGAATTCGTGGGTAGAACCTCTTGTATTAGTTTAATTGAACTTTCTAAAAATGTCCCAACCATTATGTTAATGATCTATACAATTTCCGTTCCAATATCCATGATTGAAAGTAACAATAATTCTATTAGCTGTTTCCTGATGTACTGCATTCAAGTCACGATCACGACTTGACTTCACGACACGACACAACGCGACATTTTTGTTGTTATATGTCCTCGTTTACGCGTCAAATTCTGCTTCCATAAGGATTACATTGAAACTTTGGGACCCTGTGAAACGAATCCTGGAAGAATTTGTTAACACCATATAGATGTTGGCTCTAACTGATATACAGTAGTCTTTATCACCATGCAAAATTTGAAAATGATTGCTTCAGCCGTCTAGGAGAAGTTTGTTGTTTATGACAAAATGCATAATTCAACAAATAAGTTGAATAGTCAACAGTAATAGTCAACAGATAAGTCAATAAAAACTAACTAGTGTCAAAGAAGTTACATTGTGTTACTGACGAATCCACACTTTAAAAAAATGCTTTTTGTTAAAAAAAAAAATTGTGTGTCCTTGGTAAAAACACTAATTAGTTTGTAGTAAGACAAAAATTATATTTTCAGCAGTATTAGAGTGCAATCTCATTGTTAACTAATGAGTGAAGAGTGAACAACCGAGTATATTAGGGTTTCCATGTGGTACTGGGTAAAAAAGAGGGGATTTTAGCCATGGCAAACATAGTAGCAAACGTATCTTTTATTCCAAAAGTGCCGTTATTTAATACATTTTAGTAGAATAGTTAAAAAAATGAAGTTTCTCACTTTTTGCAGAAATCCCCTAGAGTTAAATTTTGAACATCAAAATCAGATAATCTCCGGGGATATCCGGTGATGGGGCAACCCTAAGTATATACATTTGAAGTCTCATCTTCTTCACTCCAATTATATTTCTTTGGCTTATACGTATATAGTTAAGGTTTTCCATTACCCAAGTAACACAGACACTCTCAAATCAACTCCGGTAGCTTTTTGTTGTACAAGGATCTTCTCACCCCCTTTACTCTCCATGTAGGAGTACTCTGAGGATCCACCATCAGCCTCCCCATGTACTTTCCGCACACGCACAACCTCCCGTCTCCACTGACAACTTCTATGGTCTTGCTCAGTTTACTGATGACACCACCGTCTGGACCTTTCCCACAATCACCACGACACACTCATCAGACTGACCACAGCCAACCTACAAAACCACCTTTCCTACTACCTCCGTTGGCGTATCACCTTTAACACCACCAACACCATTTTTATCAGCTTTAACTCCTGTAGATTCCATAGAACCAGGTCCAACCCCATCCATTTCAACAATGTCATCCTGGTTCTGAAAAGAGTTGGAATTAACAAACTTGACTCTACTCACCCCTTTGCCCGGGATCCTCTAAACTCCAAAAACAACCCACCACCCTCCTATGTGTCCTAAACAATATCCTCCCTTTTTTAACCTCGTTTCTCATATACTCCTATTGACAACCTCACCCCTACATATCCAGTTTTAAAGCCATCAAAAAGAATGTCTTGCGCTTAACATCCCACTTACCCTTCTGGACTTGGAATAAAGATGCCTACGTCGCCCACTCCATACCGGCCCTCAGAGACTTTCTTAAACAACTTAATGTGAAGTACCTCAACGGTATCCATACCTCCGAGATGCTCCAACATTTTTTCCATACCACCAGTACGTTCTCCAGTACTTCATCAACCCTTCAAGCCTCTCAATCACTCAACTCACAAATCTACGGAACCATTAGCAAACACTACTATTGGTTTTATACTATTTTTTACTATCGGTTAGTATTACTAACCAACCACAATTAACAAACCAACTGCATCAACTCAATCAACCACAAAAACTCAATCTACCACATAAGCCCTCACTAACCTCACCTTAAAACCCACAACCAAATAGCCATTACCCTTGCTGTTGAGCTGCAACAGAAGTCCCTGATTTCTAATATACACCATTTTTATGTATGTAACCTGTCAAAGCTCTTAACCTACCCAAGAGATTAGAGGGCAAAGTAGTAGAACAGCCTCAGTTGCTTCATCACCCACTGTAAAATCACAATTACATCACATACAAGATCATCGCCTGCTCTAGGAGTGGATTGGATATGTCGGTATCCAGATTATATTATTTCTTGTTTTTTAGGATCATCTTCATGGGCTGCATCACCAACCGCTACTACAACTACACGTTTGTTTGCTCGGCTGGTGGTGAATGTGTCCGTGTCTACCTGATAGGCATGTTGGCCCTTCTCAGTCTCAACATCATACTACTGGTGGCCATCATCAATCGGAGTGCTCAAGGAGGCATCTGTGACATCCAAGCCAGGCGAGCTGTGCCACCCTTGCTTGGTTGCAAGTAAGTGTTCTCATCTAAGATGGCCCATGTTTAAGTATTTTATTTGTAAATTTTGTTAACAATCTCATATAGTTCATTACGACTAAATTTGCAGGTTTATTACAAAAGTTCCTATGAATGTAATTATGATCGTGAGGTAGTTTAGATAATTTGTTTAACAGTGTCTAAGATCTAGCATCATACACAAAGTTTGAATTTAATACTATTCTTTACATACTGCAAACTGCAATGTTAGTGGTGGTGGAAGGGAGGTCTAGTGGTTAGAATTAAGAACTTATGACCTGGAGGTAGGCTGCCAAACTAGTACGATGGTATCAAAAACAGACATCACTTGCTATATGACAGGTGAATGCTGGCTTTTAATGTTTACGGTGATTTTGGGTACCCTTGGCTTTAGCTAATAAAGCTTTAACCACAATATATACAGAAAACAAATGATCAAATCATGTGAGGAAAATGTTGTCTGGGTTTAACATCTCCCTTCATTAAAATGTCATAGGATAGTTAACTCTTAACAGGAAGGGTAGAAACTAACACAACAGCATCATCAAATAAACAATACGGCGTTTCTATCAAACCATTGTCTAGAGCTGATTTCCTAATATAACTAGGATTGCTTTCATAGCAGTGAAAGCCAGTTGAGCGGAGCAATCATGTTTCATGGTTTTTAATAAAGCAATAATTGAAAAAAAAATTATAGATATAATACAAAATATACAAATGTTACCACACTCTAAACTGCTAGCCTTTACTACTTCTTTCATCACTTCCTACGTCGTGGACTTGTTTCCCTCCCATCCCATAGTATTTTAGGATTGCCGATACATTCATCTAACTGCCACAAAGGGTTCCCACACTCACCTTTAGCCTTTACTACTTCCTTCACCACTTCCTACGTCGTGGACCTGTTTCCCTCCCTTCCTAGAGCATTTTAAGATTGCAGATACATTAATCTAACTGCCACAGACGGTTCCCACACACCACCTTTACTACTTACTTCATCGCTTCCTTAGTCGTGGACCTGTTTCCCATTCTTCCCATAGTATTTTTGTATTTTAGGTACGTTAATCTAACTGCCCCAAAGCATTCCCACACTCCCCACTGCTAGCCTTTACTACTTCCTTCACCACTTCCTACGTCGTGGACCTGATTCCCTTCCTTTCCATAGCATTTTAATATTTTAGATACATTCATCCAACTGCCACAAAGGGTTCCCACACTCAGCACCTTTAGCCTTTACTACTTCCTTTACCACTTCCTACGTCGTGGACCTGTTTCCCTCCCTCCCTAGAGCATTTTAAGATTGCAGATACATTAATGTAACTGCCACAAACGGTTCCCACACTCCGCACTGCCAGCCTTTACTACTTCATTCACCACTTCCTACGTCGTGGAACTGTTTAAGTTTGCCATTTACGAGATGGATCCATGAATGTGGTTCACCTACGAATTGTTTAAGATAAAATGTTATTTGTTATAACCTTATTTAGCTACGTAAATCAAATCTGTTAAATACTGTACCTAAGTAATGTTTTATCTAAGACTGTACCTATTTGATTAGTGGTCGTTTCCATATTGCGACTTAAACCTAAGACTTTCTCTGTATTATTTGATCTGTTGTCATTAGCCAAATTTTTCCTTTGTCCTGTGTTTAGGTAATGGCTGAATTATAAACATATTCTATGATTTCTTGTTTTGTTTACATTTACGTTGTTATTTTGTAACCATCATGGCAACCCGTAAGACCAATGTTAAAATTTTAAAAATTTGAGTTACTTTAAAATTATATAGGCATTATCCAAAATTGAAATCAGTTACGTCTAAACCATCCAAACATTTAACAAAACAACCTCGGTAAGTTTGGCTAAAATATATTCAGTCGTTATTGAAATTAAGTGTTACTAGAGGTCGTCCAGCGGTCGAAAACTCGACCAAAAATATGTAAATGAAATTAAATGAAAAAATTAAAATTATATGAAATGAAAAATTATATATTTATTCAGACAAAGTTAGGGCCACATGGCCGTTTCTTACACTATGTAATGTACAGTGTAAACCCCACACTGTAAATAAAACATGTGATAGGAATTTGTTTTGATTTTCTGTTTATATTTTGTTGTTATTTCGTCACCAACAACCCATAACTCCCATGTTATTTTTTTTTAGTTTTCAAATTCATTTTTTGTGCTTATTTTTGAGCCTATTTTAATTTATAAAGGGATTCTGCACATCTACAGGAAAATATCTTTCCAACAGTATGCGTAGATTTTCCCTGCGATGCACACGAGCTGAGAAAAAAGTTTTTTAAGAAACATGCTTGCCTATTAATATATAGATAGATAAAGATTGCATTGAAGTTGATCCAAAGAGCTTCGCTTCGCTCCGCTCAATTAACAAGTTCTAAACATTGTTATTTATTTGAAATGTTCTTTTTTTAGGATCTTGCTGCTGATACCAGAGGCAGGGTGGAATGGCCTTGGGACGGTGTGGGCCTTCACATCAGTCATACAGTGTCCTGCCGAAGACCACTTTGTCAATACTGCTATTGACGGTAGGTGAATACACTAGCCATAGAACACCTTGAGTTACCACTCTGTAGAAGCCAAATAAACAGTTATCAAATTAACCATGTTCATACAAGTCAACACCATTAGTTGTCTAGCCAGATCATAATTGTATAGAAGTCATGATACAGTCTCTTCTAATATTCTCCTTGCCCCATCCTTGTTGCTTATGCAAGTGTTGCTGCTTTTGTATGTGTAAATCTAGGTACTCTTTATTCTGTAGGTCAGTGTACATATTTTTTATGTCCCACCTTCACATTCTAGGACACTTGGTTCTATTCCGAAGCTGATTCACACATTACTTCAGGCTACTCCTGGAGGGCACGGCATTATCACAGAGATAAAATCCATTGGTGATTGACGGGATTTTAACCTGGGACCTCGGGTTCCAAAGCCTTAAGCTTGACCACTAGACCAGCTCGCTCCCAAAGTCAGTGTACAATCCACCTTCCTAAATAGTGACCACAACAGGGAAAAAACTCAAAGCATGCTGCTCAGTCTGCCTTGTTGAGGAATATCAAACTGTTAAATTACTTGGTATATTTATTGACATTAAATTAAATTTGAAGTCCCATGTTAGTCGAGTATATGTAAAACAATATTAAAAGCTTAATTTCTGGTTTGGATGCTTAGGGTTTTTGTAAGTTTTGAATATTTAAAAGGGTAGCTTACTTTGCTGTTTGCCGTCTCATGTTTCCTATAGCATTACTCTTTGGGGCCATTTGAGTGCTGTGTCCAATGGTACAATCCATTTTATACCATAGAAGAATTTTTATTATGTTAAACACAATTGCGATATTTAACTTTTAGGTTAATTTTATGTTATTTACTGTACCATAATTATTGTTTTCCTATAAAGCATAAGTGTTGACTCAGAAGAATATTGTTTTCATTTGTAATTTTTATAGTATATTACGTTACTAGTCCAGAAAACCGGTGATTACCGGACGGTTTATATTCCCACCGACTTAAAGAATTAACAATCACCACTCATAATTTACAAGGGAGGTTATGTTTTCTTATATAACCACTTATTGCCAATTATAATCAGCTAGTGTCCAGTAAAATTCATTACAGTACGTAATGAAATCCCATTTGACTAAGCAGGCCGCAAACACCCGTTTTCCGGACTAAATCCTTAGGCTTTGAAAGTCCATCAAAACAGTGTAGGGTGGAACAAATCTGTATTTTTTAATTTAATTTATTGACAATCTATGTTATATGGATCAACCATTGTATGCATCACAGTACACTTGCTAGTATTATTTGAGTTCCAACCGATTTGCCTCTGACCACCATAGGATTTTTTCTAGATCAGAGTTTATGAAATTGAGTGAAGCTCATATCTGGGATGGCTCATAAGACAAGTGCAGCTGTGAGTCATCGGCATACAAATGAACTGTACAATGCTGCACACAGCTAGGAAGGTCTGCCGTGTACAAATTGAACAGAACAGGCCCAAGACAGCTGCCTTGAGGAATTCCTTGGTTTTTGACAAGCAGGGTTGATGTTTCACTCTCTAACTGTGTCACTTGCAGTCTGGAGTCTAAGTATGACCTTATCCATTTCAAAATATTCTTGTCAAAGTTATAATATTTCATTTTCCATTTTAGCCAAAAGCATATCATAATTCATTGAATCAAAGGCCTTAGAATAATCCAGCTTTATGAGAGAACTATATTTACCCTTGTCTTTGGCAATAATTATATCACTAAATAAGTTCCTCAGGGCTGTACGTACAGTACACTTATTGTGGTTAGCTCTAAAGCCAGACTGAAGTTTGGGTAATATATTTTGTGAATTTGTGAAGCTCAATATTTGGCAAATAGCTATTTGTTCTCTAATATTTTTGACATAGCTAATAATTTTGAGATTGACCTTAGGTCTTAGGTCTTCTACTTTTCTTGCGGCTGTAAGTTTGGGTAGTGGCCGGATGATACTAATTTTCCAGGATTTTGGAAATCGTCCATTGTTAGTGATAGGTTTATCAGATGGGTAATTGATTTGATCGCATAATCACTGACAGTTTTTTATAATTTCATTTCAAATATCATCATTGCCGACTGCTTTGGATTTTATTTCATTCTTTATGTCTATAACCTCTTGTTCACTGACATTTCTAAATTGAAGGTTTTAGTTACGCCATCTTGTTTATTATCAATAAAATATTCCCAAAGATGTTTATCAATATCGAGTTAAGCTCCAATGTTAACCAAATATTTGTTGATCCCATCAGCTTGTAGGTCATGTGGAATGCTCAGAGTTACTCTTGGAGCCCTAAATCATTACTTTTCAGAAATATCAAAAATTCTTTTAGGTCTTTTGACGCATTGATAGTTTTTCAGAAAAATATATCTTCTTTGCACTCCAGTTTAGATTATTTAACCTGTTTCTAACGTCCTTATATCTTTCCTAATTCTGATCACCTCTATCCTTCCAATAACGATTTTGCAGTCTTTTTTTCTCTAGTCAAACGCTTAATATTTTCACTACGCCAAGGAGCCTTTCTCTTGGTAATCTTTTTGCCCACCATTGGTGCTTTGTAAAATAAATTGATACTGACTACTCATCACTCTTGTACAGTTTGTTTGATATATTTTTTAGATGTTAAAAGTGTTTTAAAATTTCAGCGTTAGATATTCAATATCATGTTATGTATTCGTTACTAGATTTTGATATTAATAAATCAATTCGATAATAGTGAAGTATTCCAATGAACTGCAGTGTTGTTTTCTGATCTCAATGAACTTGTGATGTTAGAGTACAACTGCCATACAGTGGTTCAGAGGAATACATTATCTTTCTTATCACTTATCAAATTTTACTGGTGCCATATGAGTTTATCTTCCCTCTTCTAAGACACATTAGCAACACAATTACCTTTACAGTTTTGTGCTAAAGGTAAGTGCCTCTTCAATAAATATTTTGTTAGCTACTTTGGTTCTTTGACTTAATGTAAGCTGGTAAACAAATGTGCTTAATTTTACCTGATATCTCTCACCTTAAAAATTGTATTGTTGTGCTGCTTTTTAATTAGATAAAATCAATATCACTATTCAAATGTTCTTACTCACTTATATGTGTGAGTGAGAAAGTTTATATTGCAATTTGAATGAAAATATGAATGTGTTTAAATTTAATTAGTAATTATTGAAAATTACATTTTGGTATACGCTCCAAATGTTATTTTTGCATAAGATTTGCTTGTTGCAAATCATTCATTCAACTTTATTAGGAGAATTAAAGCTGTAGTTTATGACAACTGTATTCTGAAATAAGTAATGTACAGCATGATATGTACCCTTGTTTTATAAACTATCAATAATGCAGTAGATGACTGAGATAACGTCTACAGGAGTCTAGTAATCACCAGCTGCTTACCTTCTCTATCTTTAAATGTTTAACAACTCACCAATGAATTGTGCAACATAATCTGAGTATGGCACACACTAAATTTAACTTTACTCTTCCATCATAATAAACTGACTGTCAAACTAATTACAAGTCTCCATTGGAGGCAGTTTGGTGAGTCGGTGGCTCAGTTGGTAGTGTCACGAACTTCGGGCCCAAGGCAGCGATGTCGTAGGTTCGGATCCTGCTAACTGCCACAAACATTTCATTAGTACAGTTCACGCTCGTACTGTACCGGCCCCTGCCCCACGCTTGTACTGTCCCTTGCTTTGCTCGATACGTTCCACGCACAGATATGTAGTCTATGTGGACAGGCAAATGCGTAATTGAAAGAGGCCGCCAACCTCTTTAAAAAAAAAGTTAACTTGGTTAGCCGCCTACTTATTTTACCCACCTTCAAATCTGTAGGTAAGCAGGGTCTATTCACTACTCTAAGCATAGGTAGATTGTAGATGCCATTTCTCATTGAGATATTAATTTTTCTATCCATCAAAAGGTCAAAATTATTTAGTATAAAGACCAGGGTTTGGATAACAAGGAGTAAAGTTGATTACTTCTTAGATTTTGATCCTTTTTACATAATACCCCAAAGAGAGAAGAGAGAAGGGTCGCAGCCCCCTCAGACCCCCCCCCCCTAGATTCGCTGATGATGGAAATAAAAAGCTTATATCTGGGTTTTTGTAGCTGCACATTTTATATTGAGCACACTATGGACCTCTCTCTGCACAGTAGTGTTTCCCTAGCTCAGCAGTGTGCTGCAAGGTTTCAGTTGTTTGCTGACAAGTGAGTGAACATGAACTCAGGCCTGCAGTTTGCCCTATGGGCCAGAGAGACGCTTGTGCCCTCCTCCCCCTTTCCTTAATTTTTTTCTTCTTTGTGCCCCCAAACAAACCTAAAACCACTTGCTCTCCTGGCAATTTACTAAAACATCTCTGCATGAGCTTTTGTCCTCTGATTTTAGGGTTGATGATGTCAAACCAAAAAAGAGAAGGAAAAGAGATCTAAGATTTAATTTACTTTTTATTGACTGTATTTTTAAAGTGTGAAATTCTATCAGTTTACTGTACACATATAGATAGAAAGATAGGGTATTCAAATTTCAAATTCAAATCCACAGACATTTGCTAGATGACTAAGTGAAATTCAAATCTTGCTGCAGAGTTATTAGGTGTCAGTTTGAATACTTGTTTAGTTCAGTTGAAAGTTATCTTTTTTAAAGTGTGAAATTCTATCAGTTTACTGTACACATATAGATAGAAAGATAGGGTATTCAAATTTCAAATTCAAATCCACAGACATTTGCTAGATGACTAAGTGAAATTCAAATCTTGCTGCAGAGTTATTAGGTGTCAGTTTGAATACTTGTTTAGTTCAGTTGAAAGTTATCTTGAAAGCCAGTCTTGCAACAGAATTACATCAATTCTGCCCAAGTTTGTAGTGGCAGCAGGGGCCGCACTTGACTGCTCTCAGAGGAGTCGTCCAGTTGTGGAGAGCATACGGGTACTGCGTATCACAGAGAGGTGTAGGAAGAGGGTGCTGCCTGAGTCAATGCTGCTGAGTAAAATACACTTGGATAACCCATCTTTAGTGGGTATAGCTGCCCAGATAAAATTGTTACAAAGACTTCTACTAGATTGCAGCTCTAATCAAATTGTCGCCTATAGTTCAGGAAGGATCAAGGGTATGATAGGAATATATAAGGATGGACCTCACTGACTTTCCTATTATCACTGTTTCAGTGCTAGTGTGCCTGGACTGGCTGCTGTTTGCATTGCTGGTGTTTGCCCTGGCGATGGTCATCGACCCCATTGGCTCTGTCAAACTGAGAGCCTCCCAGCCAGACCTCAACTATGACTCCCTCAAGAACCGCCAGGTGACCAGGACGTGGGTGAGGCGCTTCCGATGGTTCTTCTGCTGGCTCAACCGTGACAAGGAGAGTGTAGAAGCATTTGCTCAGGTCGCTGGTTAGTTCTGTTCTTGTCTTGTATAAGATTTTTGTATGTGCAACAATTGGTTTTAAGATACCAGAGTAGACACAACCTATATGGACCAATGGACCAAGTCTAGACAATTTGTTATTCAATTGCAAACTACTGTAGCTGAATAAACCACTCAAGGAGTGTACTAGAGTCTACAATTCTATTTTCTACCTTGGATAATATGTATTAGTCGATGAATATTGATATAACCATTAGATACGATAAAGTTGGTGTGAGATAAAATGCTATAATATACAATAAGTTGCCATTTCAGTTTTTTTGTTGACATATTTTCAATTGACATGCTGCTGTTTGTCAGAAATGAGAAATATACAGTAGCACAAGCCATAGGCTGCTTGATCCAAATTTTTATTCTATAATTGGTTACAACTTTAACATGATAATGGAATGCTTAGATCACAGTAAAGTTGCAACACAGTGAGAATGTTTCTTTCCAAAAAAGTACTAAATTAGCTTATTCGTTAATTAGCTTATAAATTAATGTATACAGGTAAAATGTATGTGATAGCTTAAGCCACATGTTGAAGAACCTTGAAACAATTATTCACTGGTCCAGTCTTATAAAAACATAAACTTTTACAGTTAGTTGCAAAAAGCCAGGATAAACATTTTATTAAATGGGTAGTAAATGTGGATCTAATCTTGAAAAATTAGTGTGAAATGTCTTAAAATTATTTGGTACTCTGATAAGAATGTGGTTTTAACATACATGTAATGACATTCTTTATCAGAGTACCAAATAATTTTAAGACATTTCACATTCATTTTTCAAGATTTGATCCACATTTACTCCCTTTTTCCCATTAATCCAAACTGATTTAAAAACAACTTTTGTCTCTTACATTGAATTGTTTCAATTAACTCTTTTCAATAACTTTAAGGTAATATTTTTTCTTATGTCTTAAATATTTGGAAATCGAATATGATTGTATGTATTCATCTCGATTTAGCAAGGTACCAAGCAGTTTGTCACAGGTGTAAGATTTTACAGTTTAATTCTTATTTACTACAAATACTATACTAAGTGTATACTGTCCGCGAGAGTAAAGAAGTCCCCTGAGCTCCGGCCTATTCGTAGTTTGAAGGCGTTACGCTTGAACATTTTGTGCGACAATTAGAGCCGTCTTCACTCTGCTCTGCTAGTTGTTAGGCTTAATTTTTGTATGTAATATCTGTCATAATATATTTTTTGCATAGTCATACAATCGAAGGAAACCCATTTTCTAGTGTTACTAAGGCAAATAATAACCTTTCTACTTTATGATTTTTGTTTAGTTAAATGTAACAATACCAATAAAATACAATACAATAAAATCCTTCTTAAATCCGAGTTTGAAAGCATTAATCCCAAATAATTAGTTGATCCATGAATATACTTATGGTGAATGCATATTACCGGTACATAATATAAGTACACGAGTACAGCAGCTTCAATAGCATTTATCAATAAACAACTTATTATTAGGGATGGACGAGATTGGATTTTTAGTTCGAGACGAGACGAGACGAGATTTTTTATTTCTCATAAAATTTCGAGACGAGATCGAGACGAGATTTCTCTTCTCATACACAACGGGAAATGCACGTTCGAAATTTTTACCTGATTTTGTAACATTGTTAGATGACTGTTTAAATACTAAAATAATGATAATAGGCAAGAATATTTACAATCTTTCATTAAATAACATCAGCATAACATTTTTTTATTAATCACGCCTAACTTATTAAAAATGCCTACGATTAGGAAACATGGTGATATCAGTTAGGATAGAGTTCAACTTATCCTAAAATAAAATAAATCATAAAATAAAAGCAATATTAATTTTTATAAAATAGTTACTTGTTTTGACTTTTTTATAGTAATAAAACATTCCTCACACTGCTTACACTTAACAAAACTTCTCAAATGTTATTAAAGTAATATTATTAAAATAATGAAAGTAATATTTACATTAAAAGAATTAAAGTAATATTTACATTAAAAGAATTAATTAAATAAGAACGCCTTCGAAAAGGAAACGCAACTACAACACGCTCCTGTATTGCGGGTATTGCATTGACTTTCTGCAGGCGTTTTAAATTTTTTTTATTTTTTTTTTTTTTTTATTCTCGTCTCAATAAAAATCTCGGCCAAAAAGTAATCTCGTCTCGTGTAACGAGATTGAAAATTTCCCGAAAATTTCCCGAAATTTCGAGACTTGACCATCCCTACTTATTATATAAGTTCTTAATCCAATTACCATAAACCTAAGCAAAAAATCTAGAAAACAACTGCCAATATAGTATTTTACTTACAAATGCTGATATTGCCTTTCAAATAAGCCGACCCCCTGCAAAAACCCTTCGTTTGACCCAATGTCTACGACAATCAAGCGGTTTGACGCGTTCATATCAGGTAACACACCATCGACGTCTACACTTTGCCAACATTTCTGGAACGTTAAATTACTGTCTATCCAAGTTTCGTCCAGATAGAAAGTTTTCCTGAACCCCATATCTTTTAAGAGACGCCGAAGTACCCATTCGCTCCATTTAAAATTAGTTCTTTCTCTCAAAACAGGTAATAGTTTTATTTGGAAAATGTAGGGACAATTTTTTTGTTACGCAAAAACCGCGTATTACATCTACGATTACACGCCTGCTATCTATTTTTACTTTATGGTGGCCAGCCTTCTTGCGTTTTTTCCCTGGTGTACAGAGTTTTTCATCCGGAGTTTGTTTGCCGGCTTTTCTAATTCGTTTAATAGTTTTTTCTGACACGTTCTGTTGCCTTTTCCATCGGCACTAATAACTTTTTGTCTTTACATTCGTTGTCAAAACACTCGATCACCCGTCTAATTAAATCCCTCTCTCCACTATGTATAGTAGCACCACGTTTTCTTAAACAAACGGACAGCTACAAGGACTGTCCAAAACAAAACGCGAACACACGAGACTGCAATGAATCAAATGACGTGACCACATGATGATAATCCACTTACCAAAACAAAGACATGAGTAATTATGTTTACAACAGTTGTTTACATACAGACATCGAGGCGAGGCGCCCAGATGCTTAGCGCCTGCAAATAGTGCGCGATACCCTCCAAACATAGCTGCGTATCGCTCTGGCTCAAGGGACTTGTTTACTCTCGCTGACAGTATATCGGTTTGATTAGATGTTGTAATGTGTGTTGTCAGGACTGTTCAGTTCCTTGTTCCGAGACAGTGATCTGGTGCCCTCAGATCTGATAGCAGGGTGTGTCTTGTTGAGGGTGAAGCAGAAGAGAGAGTCAAGAGAACAGTGGAGGCTGGAGTTGTTGGCAGAACAGCGACTCAAATACAAGACAGGTTAATATAATATAATTGTTAGTATTGTCAGTGTAGTAAGAGTACTAAAGTTGTATGTTTTTCAGTTATGTATGCCAGTTGCTAATTGTTAGGTATGTGCCAAGGAACAAATCCGAAACCTCCCTCTTTGCAGAAAGCTTGGGGACTCTCACATTAAAGACGGAAAATAACCCGTATAACACAACTATTTTATTTCAAATTGACCAATTTTCTTAGTTCAGCACTATTTATTTAATCATCAAGTTTAAAGTATATTGGACGGATCCTAAAATTCAGGAATATCACAAAAATGAAACTGATATCTTTTCAACCTATGTCGCCAAATCCAATGTGGTGTAAATGGTGTACAGGAACTGATTACAAGTAGTCTTTGCCCATTTCCCTGTCTTTGTCAATTCACTATGGATAAAATATCTCCGGTCAGGTTTAAAAGGTAACCGAAGTACGCGGTCACGTAGGGGCCAAGCAAAAGAGGGTGCCTAGGCGCTTCCCAATGTTTAGTATTAAGGAAGGAGACTAGAGGCACTGAATATATGTTTGTAAAAATAGGACTGTAGTAGTAAGGAGTTCCTGCAGCTCATGAGCTCAGGAGACCTAATGCTGGCTGTAGGAATATAATGGATGTAAATTGTAAATCGTAAGGTGGGACCCTTATGCACTCCCACAAGTAATTTATTCTTATTCCCAAATAACAATAACTTCAAATAATAACAAATGGACTTGTCCGTCGACACACAGATGTGACCAAGTAGATGACTTCTCCGTCATCAACTTGGACACGTCTGGAATAAGTTCGCACGTTTTATTTGTATCTTTAATGTATCCAGACATAGTCCTGACTACTATCAGTGCAAGATTTAGAGTACTGTACTTGCGACCCTAGGCCAAATTAACCCGAGCGGCCCCGCAATCGCCGCTAAATTGTGATCACCTCCCGTGATCACAGAACATTATCTTTGCCACCATCGATTGCCGTAAAATCATGAACATCTCCCACTATCACGAAAACATCATCATCGCAACCCGCGGTCGACGTAAAATCATGATGAATAACTCCCACAGTCATGGGGACATTGTCATTGCCACAGGCAATTTCTGCAAAATCCTGAACGTCTCCCACGATGAAGGGACATGGTGATTGTCGCCCGCAATGGTGACAAATAATTAATATTATAAAATAAAAATTCCAATTTTGTTCTAAAAAATTTTTTTTGTACTAAACGCTGCAGCTCTAGGTGCCTTGTTGTACATCCGGCTCTGACTACCATATATGTTTTTTTTTTTTTGGGGGGGGGGGGGGAGGCACCGAAATGTTGTTCGCTTACTGTAGTGAAATATCTAGAGCCGGCCCTGATCTCAAGTCTGCTTTTTTTTGCCTAAAGCAAATAATTACTTTTGACAGAATATTTGTCATAAGTGCTGAAACACTATGAATCTTTTGTTCATAGATTGATTAGTTCCTTCTAGATGTGTTGTATTTGAATACTTATTCTCTATTCAAGATTTTCTCAACAGTCTTGGCAAATACTCAACACGTACAAAAAAGAATGTTTCTTTAAATGTAAATTTTAAAATTGTAATTGCCATACAAGGAATAGAATTTTCCAAATTAATATGAGACTACATCCACTAGTAACCACATATTATTTAAAAAAAAACTATGTGATAATGTACATTAGTAGGCTATTTAAAGAGTAACAGTAGGCCTAGTAGAATGGTAGAGAGTCAGTTGTGGTAATTTTATCTGAAGGCAGAAGTGGCGCTATATTATTTTACAAGTGTCAATGTGCTTCTACACTTACGCTACACAACTGACTGTAGTAATATACATTGTGCCTCTACTCGCGGTGTCGGGTTAAAATGAGTATAAATAAGGTTTTGAGTGGATAGCCTAGACCTTTGACTGTTATATTAGTGACAAAAGTCCACAGAAAAATAATGTATGTATTGAGTAAAAAGCATTACGTGGTGATTACTGAGACAATGAACATTCTAGAGGAATTTCACAACTGAACAATGTTGAGATAGGGGTGCGACGGAGTGGCCAAATATGATCAAAGAATTAGTCATAGTTTATGAAGTTGTTGTTAAATTAAACCAAATTATAAAAAAATATAGTTGAAATTCCAATTTTGAGGATTTTTTTGGAGACAGTACCAAATTTTTGGAACCATAACAATTTCAAATAATCTTTGGTTTATTTATCAATATAAAACTTCAACTTTCTGTACAGCAGTTGTAAATTGAACAAAATTTGGTAATCAAATATTTGTAACAATATCTTGATATTTCAATAACGACAATAACTCATTGATTGACCATTAGCTGATTCGTCTAATGTAATGTTGACAGATCTGAGAGAAGTGTTCCGAGGGAGGCCGGGGTGGATCAGTTTTGACAATGCCATTCACTACATGAAGCTGGCCATCGCCACCTACAGCTGTGCCTTTGTCATGTATCAACACTGCTGCACGGGCATCTGTAGGCTCATGAAACATGCCAAGTGTTGCGCCTGCTTCAGGTATAGTCCTGGGTCTAAAAAGTTGCTAAATAATTAATAATTAAAGTTGTTTTTTTTTACTGATAACTAACACTCCTTATGACTTTTATTGGGTGATAAGGTCCTATCGTCTAAAATCATCATCCCTATGACGATGGTGGTCGTATGGCAAAGCCTTGTCTTGCAACACTTTGTCTACTTTGCCACTGAAGTTAAGCGTCAAAATACATTGTCACACAGTGCTGAGATGTTGTCAGGATGATGATTTGTTTCTATCAACTGGGTTAGTTGTTGTTGTTGGTGCAGTAGAACAACCAAAGAAACCCTGGAGTTTTAAATTTGCTCCAGTTTGAAAGCTGTAATAGGTATAGTGCTACTGCTAGTGACCTACTTAATGATTTAACATTGGATGATACTTACAGTAAAACCAAAAACTAAAGAAACGAGTGTAGTATGCGCATGCAAATATTTGGAAAACAGGCAATTTCAGATTTATACTTAATTTACTTAATTATACTTATGTTTGTATAACTTTTAATTACCTGTGTGTCCGTTCTATTTTGTGGTTTTCCTGTCCAAGATCATATTTCCAGAGGCAAACCAATTAATTTTGTATAAATTAAAATTGTCACTATCACTGCCAGATTTTACACATTTTTTGCTTTTTTAAGTTTACTCAAAAATGGCTATAATATTTTTTAAGATTTTTTAAAGTTTTTCTTTGGATTTCCACTTTTTCAACACAAAAAACTGCCATTCTGTTTAAAACATCATTCCACTTTTAACGATTTTTATAATCTGGTAAACCACAATCCATCAATACCGGAGCATGAGAAAATGCCTTGATTAGTTCCAAAACCTTCTCGTTTGAGCACTCAATAGCTCAGCACCGATGCCTCTTCAATGACCTCGGACCAAGACATATATTTTGGGGGGGGGCCTGGGGGGTATTCCATACCCCCCAGCAAAGGAGGGGGGTTCGCCCCGGGAAAAAATTTGGAAATAACGTGCTAAAATGAATGGTTTTTAAGCTATTTTGAGGACCTAGTTTAATGTGTTCAAGCTTCCCAGTTTATTTAAAGGTCAAAGAAATGTCTAAAAATAAACTTGTATAATGCGATGTTTTTGCATTATTGAGACTTGTGGTTTTAATATCAAAGGAATACCGCAACATTACAACACATTCAAGCATTATTGATTTACGAAAACACCCTTTCAACTGGTGCCGATGTGCATGCTAAACAGAAAATGTCCAAAATCAGACCAATATTTAAAAAAAAGAGAACTTATTTTATCTAAGAAGTGTTTAAGAACTTGCACCAAACACGACTGCATTATACCTGCCCAGTAAGCAACAGTTAACCTACACAAAGTACCCAACTATAGTGGAATAGAATACAGAATAGGACTGGCCTCTGAGGAGGTAGGGGATGCGACGTTGCCACTTCGTTCTTGGCTGGTGAGCTGACTTTCACCTAGAGCCGGGGAGCGGGCGCGGACATCCCTCTGACTCTGTCTTCCCACTTGTAGGGTAGTTTAACACTACAAATTATTAATTTTTTGGCGGTATCGGTTAGTGTTGTCATGTTTATATCACATGGAAGATACATTCATCCCTTACATGATTATGGATAGATTATTTGCACAATTAATTAATGACCGCTACTAGATTTAGTTTTTGAAAAATATATTAAGATTAACATACAATTAATAAATATAAAATGAAAAGACATTTTATATAGGGTCACCTTTACAAGTCTCTGGAAATATGTTTCCTATAGTCAAACGTTTGTCAACCCCAATTTTTAAACAAATCATCGTAACAATAAGAGCAAATGAATACTTATGGTCCAAAAACTTTTATAGCAGTTCTAAAAATCTTGTAAATTGTTGCCCTGCTTATAGTTTGATACATAAAACAAATTAACATGGAAATGAAGAAGGTAAAATCTTTCATATTAAACATTTACAGCAATAGTTTGGTTGTGTTTAGGAAACGAAGTTGGTCAATGTTTAGGAATTACCCCAAAGCTGCCTTTCTTTGAACACCTATTGTGACCCTCACTCCGTTAATCTTATTATTGCCACTCGACTGAACTTAAACTTACGGAGAACAGGTAGCTCAATAGTGACAAAGACTTTTCTGTAATATTGTGATTTGGCAAAAAAAGTCCGTTAGTTTTATATTGAATTTAAGAAAATTGAACTAACGTTTACATACATTACGTTATGTGTTGTATTCATTAAAATAGTCATACGATATATTCACTCTTCTATAACAAAAAAAACTTCTAATGTAGGTACTCTAGAAATCCTCAAAAAAACATACCAGGTAAAAAGGGAAATAGATAACATAACTGCCAATTTATTGCCAAAATGACATAACTATTTTTATTAGAAAATATTATTACATTGCACTGGAAATTGTTACATAAAAATGTTTACAAAAGAAAATATTGACGTATGAAACTTAAATAAAATGTTTAAGGGACAATGACATTTTTATATAGGCCTATCAAGATATTTGCATTACGTAAAGGAATGTAAAGGAACACCACGTCCGACGTTACGATATCGCAAACGTTTCACGTGTTCTAGTGGTCGTCCACGTCGCGTACTGTTGTCCGTATTCATTGGGCGAAACACAGTTCATAGACGAATTCTTGACAAAACAGGAGGGTATACTAGAAACGCACAGGTCGGCTATCGGGCAGAGACTGAGTGCGTGGCACAACTTGGCAACAGTGGACAGTTTTCTAAAAGCTGATTGGATGCCGCATGCCCCGCCCCACCCGACTCGGACTGGTTTCGGTCCTATTCTGTATTCTATTCCACTATAACGTTGCGTCGGCGACCCGTCACTGCTACCGCCTGAAGAATTGGTTCTCAGTGTTCTGATTTTTTTCCACGCCAGTGCCAGTGGCATTTTACAAGGGGTCAACGTGAGAATAAAGTTTTTGTGCAACGTTTTTGTGGTTGTGCCGGGAATTAAATCCGTCCCTTCCGCATCTAAGTCTGAGACACTACCATTTTGTTGTTGTTTTGTGGCTAGCAACATGCCTATTGGGTTGTATTATTCTTAAATATGATATCAGGTGCTCTAAATATAAATACTATTTAATATTGAAAGTTTTGAAATTTGCTACGGTAATCATTGAATTACATTACTGTAATTACAAATTCCTAACACTGAACTCAGATAAATTAATATTCAACTACCTTTCAAACTTTGACTATTGATACAACTTATTTTCTTTATCCAATACCCAATTCAAGTTTTCACTCATCTGGGTTAAAATGAATTATAAAATTAAATGCCGAAAAATTAAATAAGAAGAAGAATGCAGCCGAACGTCGAACGTCATCATCGGACACTGCCGTTGCCATATATGGCTGAAAGCGTCCGTTGTCTGCCAATCTTCCCTACTTTTCATAACGTACAAAAACATAGTCAGACTTCAACGATCCCAAGTTTTAGGTTAGACTTTGTAATTAGTCCTTTCGTTCGCTACAAGTGTAAAGACTACAACGAATTTCAATTTGGTAAAACGATTTGCAATAAAAATTATTAATGTTTGCCTGGTACAGGGAGCGGCAAAATGATCTGACGGTTTTCTTTGCCGCCCTGTTGAGCGAGTGAGTGGTGGAGGGTGGTGGGAATAGGGGCGTTACAAAGCCTACGTGCGAACATTTTTAGTAGCCATGGACCTAGGGACAGCTGAGCACCATGCATTTGTAGTGGAAGTGTTTTTTAAAAGTGACAATTCCTGTGTAGCTGTTCAGCTGCAGTTACGTAGACGTTTCAATGTGGGCCCAAGGGGAAAAGTCCCAACTCGTAACACCATTTTGCTGTGGGTAACTTCAGAGCTACTAGTTCAACATTGAAAAAAAGTCCAACAGGTCCAAGGTCAGTCCGGACGCCAGAGAATATCGAGAGAGTGAGAGAAGGTGTGGTATCCGCCAATCACTCGTTTAACAGGGCGGCAAAGAAAACCGTCAGATCATTTTGCCGCTCCCTGTATAATGTTTATGTATATAAAAAATATTTTGGGGGGTCATGACCCCCCTGACCGGGGGGGGGGGGTCCCAGGGGGGGCCCCGGGACCGCCCTTGCCTCGGACAGACTGGAGGAGGTTAGGTATGTTGCTAGTACCGGTGTCTGCCACTTGGCTCCTCCCCACTCCAACCTGCCGCTCGGCATCCTTTGATCTGGACCGACAACCTGTGATTATGGTAAAAATCACAAAAGTTGCAATAACTACAATTAAAAAAATTTTTTTTTAATGTCCTAGAGATACTATAGATTAGTACAAACACACCAAATTAAATCAAAATTAAATTACAGGTCCTATATGTCATCCACACGTACACACACACACAAACATAGGCATCCCTTCAGAAACGGATATATACAATAATAATATCTATGGTTCTTACCGTCAACGCAATCAGGGGTAATATTCCACTACGGCCGTTTTGGAGATGACTCCATTGTCAGGTGCGTAGTGGTACACTAAACTATAGTCTTGTCACATTTAACATGAGTTTTCTTCATTTGCATTGCGTCAAGGGTTGAATAAATAATACACATATATGTACAGGACCTTATGTACAGGATGTATATGTACAGGATGTTATTCAACCCTTTACGCAATGCAAATGAAGAAAACTCATGTTAAATGTGACAAGACTATAGTTTAGTGTACCACTACGCACCTGACGATGGAGTCATCTCCGAAACGGCCGTAGTGGAATATTACCCCTGATTGCGTTGACGGTAAGAACCATAGATATTATTATTATATTTTCACGCAATCTGCCACACCCAAGAATATGGATATATACACCTAAACTCAAACTCGAACATTTTGACAAAAAAAAACCATTCTCCATGTAAAATGAATAGCAAAAAGAGGATTAAATAACAAGGAATTTTTAATCCCCATATCTAACTATCATTGAATCCCACTAAACCAACCTCGGCTAGTCCGACTCCTCGCAGAATCCGTCTGTGCCTATCACTGACAACGCTGTCACGGTAGTATCGTGACTATTTGCCACAGTCATATGGAGATCATTACCATCTCCCGCAATTGCTGCAAAAATCTGGGTTTTCCCTCACGATTACAAAAACATTTATAGTCATCCTCCGCAATCTAGGAAAAATATTGAACATCTCCATTAGTCACAGGAACATTATCATTGTCTTCCTCAATTATTAATTTGGTCATTTAATATGCTCTTTGGATATCTGGCCTTTTCACTGTTCCGACCATGGTCCCGGTCCCGTACTGGTAGGTGATGGATTAGCGACGTTGTACTTTGCTGCTGTCTTCAGATAAAAGTATGTTTGTATCATAATTTTTTGCCACTAGGATTTTAAATTTTAGCAATTTATGTGTGTACATAATTTTGTCAGTAAAACTGATTGAACTTGCTGATAATTCAGTTTGACACAATGTTATATATTGAGTTTATGTGTCATTTAATGCTACTCCTATTTCTTTTAGTTTTTACTTTTCAGGGCGAAGAGAGTGATAGTGAATGGGGACAACTGCTGCATGTGCAGTATGGCAGGTTTCAAGCACTTATCAGAAGTCAGTGAGGACGATTGTATATATTGTAACTTCAAAAACAGAATATTCGAGGTAATTATCATTCCATCAGCAGTTATGATTCAAAACAAAATTAAAATTATTACCCAAAATTTTGAAAAAAATATATTCTCTCCTGGGTATCAAATGGATATCTGGAATGGATATATTCTGAATATTGTTGATGAAGAGGGATTGATTATCATCTTAGATTAAATGTTGGCTGTTAAATAATGATACGTTCAAATAAAAAGTAGTTGAGAACAAGTTTCAAATTTTGTTCTCTTTCCAAAAAAATTAATATCCCAGCCACAGCAGACTAAGTGAATTCCCATTTGCCTGAGTTGCTTATCAATTAAATCTATTTCAATAACATAAGGTTTAATGAGTACCTAGGTTTGCTGCTACAGGGAGGGTAATAAAGTGTGTTTTAGTATAATATTAATAGCTTAGTATTAAACAAATAAATTGGCCAAGTTTGATCAAAATATATCCATAACCAAGCAAACTACAACAGTTAACTTATTCATATTTTCCATAAGAATAACCTGGCAATTTTTAATTTCCAGCTTTTGGATTTTTCTCAGTAACCAATAACTGTACAGAATAGTTATTTGTTTTTTAAGCTCTTCAAAATGATTTAGAGATAAATTGGAAAATGTTATGTTTTGAGTGTGAAAAATGAGAAAAAACTATTTTTACCCCATGAATCCCCCCATAAAACCCCATTCCCATGGTCCGATCACACTGGTTCACAAACTTGTTTGAATAAATGTAGGTTTACACAATTGTACCAAATTTCATCCAAATCGGATAATATTTGCTCGAGTTACCGTGTTTAACGGACACACACACACACACACACATACATATATATGAATTTGAACGGATGGTGTTTTTGGCCTCTGGGCACATCAAAATGAAAAAGTACGGTAATAGCTTCTTCCCTATATGGGAAATTGGCTAAAATAAAATGTATTAGATATACACAAATAAATCAAAATAGAGGGTGCCCCGTTACCTAATTTTGCATGGACAGTGTCAAAGGTCATATTCATCAGTCATTATTTCACCTTGCAGCTGATTATCCCGAAAATGCTTCATATGAAGGAATCAAACCATGTGGTCAAGTGATGTTTCCTATTTGACAGGCTAAAGCTAGTAGAAAGCCAATTTTGGTTGGAACTCTTTAAAGCAGTCATGTGCAGTACACGTTTACAATCTCAGTGTTTAATGTGTCATGTTGGGTTTGTTGCTGGTCTAGTGGGAAACGGACAGATTGATTCCTGTATTTATGGGTTTGGATAGACTTTTGTGATTTCTTCATTGAAAATTCCACTAGCGTAGGCAATAACAGATTATTGTATGATGTCGGACAATCAATTAAGTAAGCTCTAAGGGTCTTTGCGAAACATAATTTGCATAAGATACTGGGGTAATGTGCAAAGCCAGAGCCAGTAGACATAGGTACCAGTTGGTAGACAAAAACACAATTTTATATTTACATTAAAGTAGAGCATGTGTGCAGGTTCCTTTTTGTGTCATCTCTGACCACAAGACAAAGAGCATAGTAGTGGCAGTCAGAGGCTCCATATCACTCAAAGATGTGTTCACGGATCTGGTGGCTGTTGCTGAGAAGATAGACATTGAAGGCTTACCTGAGGGCTCTATGGTGAGGTCATCAGTAATCAATCACTACAGTTATTTGTCAAACCTTCAACTGTGTCTTTTCCAATATTGTACTATATTAGTTTCTTAATTCTCAATGAAATCCTAATACTTCTCTACCAAGGTAAACTTAAGACCTCATGGATTTTGTACCGTTAACCCCCCCCCCCTCAAAAAAAAGATTTACATACTTTTTAATAAATCCATCCAACAAAAATATTTTTGTAAGATAACAGAAATTGCTAAAGGAAAATATCCAGATATAATGATGTTTCTTTTGCAGAGCAACATTGCTAAATGTTTGTTGAAGCAAAAAGTTAAGATAAAGGACAGAATTTAATTTACTACTGAGTAGATGCTTAACTTTGATTAATCGTTTTTGGACATCTTCACAATTTTTAGGTACGAGTATTAAAATTACATTTTTCAGGCTCACAAAGGAATGTTGATAACAGCCAAAAAGTTGAAACATCATTTGGATGAGACCAAAACTTTAGAGAAGGCTCTTTCTCTCTATCCCAATTATGACTTGGTGTTCACTGGTGAGTTACACATAAGTATAGTATACATCTAGAGAACTATATTTAAATAATGATTTTTTAAAATAATTTATTCTAGTGCTGCTACTAGTTCTTGATGTATGTTGTTTTATTGGTTAGACACTATGTTACCATTGATTTCAATGACTATCTGTCATGATGCTCTAACAAGACTGAATGCACGTATAGCTATTTATATTACAAGTGTAGTAAGAGCCTTTTTACATCACCTTGTTGTGCAACGAGCGGAAGCGAGTTGCATAATTTACCTAAGTGATGTAAACACGCTCTTGCGTAACGTGTAACGTACAAGATTTTACCTGACCTGACAATATACATGGGTTTACGTACAATATTTTTCATGATCCATTTCACTCATTGTCTAACAGTAACGTTCTTTTACAAACAAAAGCTAGGTTAGGAAAATACTTTAAAGCATAACAATAACATTCAAGCGCACATCTGATTTCTAGCGTTGAACGTCGATGCCTCCATAGAGGTATATTTTTTTAAGTTAAGCACTCAATGTTATTTAAATGGGTTTCATTACATCACCGAGTGAGTTTTTTTCAACTTTACATCACTCGAGAAGTAAGGAAGTTGTATACATCACGCTTAGGATTGGGAGGTTTAACATGGCGGGTTAGGTAAAATAGTTTGATAGATATCATATCAACAATTTGTAATTCCTATATAAGAACATAACACTTTTACAACATTGCATATATTCTCATCAAATCAGTTCCATCTGTTCTACTCTAATGTTACCATGTGGTGTAGTGGCACTACTGTGCTATGATATTTTACTGTAAACTACTGACCATCCATTCATTGTTTTGATATAGTAAGAGAGCAATTATTTTTCCAAGATACTGAGGTACCAAACTCTCTTCTTCACTTTCATCTGTATGTTAGAATCTCAGTCTCCTTCCCTTCATCCTCCTCTGCTCAGTTTTCTAAGGAATCCTCTCCTAATCCTGCTTTTTATTTTCCTCCTCCCATCTCTTCTTCTATATTTAACCATCCCTCTTCTGATCTCTTCATTCATATATATTTGACTCTATTCAACACATATTCTTTGTGTTTGACAAATAAAGAATTATTTGATTGGATTTAATTAATTTTCTTACTTAACCCCATTTGTTTTATCCTTATAAATCTTATTTCTCCAGTTTGGATTTGACTCCATTCTCTTTCCTTGCATCCTACTCGTTGACTCTATCAATAAGTATTGGCCTGTTTTTGTCATATTTCTTATACAAGGCTATTTCCTTGTACAGGGTGAGTCAGTGAAACGGGCGATTTTTCAGAGGGTATAAAAAAAAGATCAAACTTCATAACACCAATTTATTGATTAAAATACATAGTAAAAGAGTGGAGGTTTGTGTTAAAACAATAACAAAAGCTTTAGGTCTTAAAAATAACGTCGGAAAGATGGCGGCCTTCAACCTGGATGCATTGCTGGATCCTCGACCGAAAATTCTCGGAAACCGCTCTTAATGTTGTAAGCGGGATTGCTTGAATTTCGTCAACGATTCGTTGTTTTAGTGTTTCAATAGTGGCAGGACGAGTTTCAAAAACTTTTGCCTTTAAATAGCCCCACAGAAAAAAGTCACAGGAGCTGAGGTCGGGGGATCGAGGGGGCCAGGCAATATCCCCATTTCTGGAGATGATGTGATTCGGGAAGATCTCTGAAAGAAAATTCATGGACACTCTAGCAGTGTGACTTGTTGCTCCATCTTGTTGGAAATAAGAGTCTGCATTCACTGGAAAACGTTGAAGTTGTGGCAGTAGAAAGTTTTCTAACATGTGTAGGTAGCGTTGAGCATTGACTGTGACAGCATTTCCAGTTTCATCTTCAAAAAAGTAGGGGCCTATTATGCCACGGGAAGAAATGGCACACCATACCGTCACTTTGTCAGAGTGAAGTGGCCGTTCGTGAAGTGCTTGTGGGTTCCTTGTAATGTCCCGGCTCACACTCAGTAGAGAAGGGTGGGTTTGGTAATACAAGGGGTCAGCCTATCACAATCTAATTCCCTTCAACTGTCGCCTGGATGGTCTCTAGTGGGGTACACCTCGGCGTTACTTCTGGATTTTTCTTGTTTTAAGGGCGCCACCCCGTTCGCTGGGAGAGAACTGCAGGAGACACAAACGGGGAACTTGTCTCTTCTCAATGGTAACTACCCCCTACTAGTTAGGCAGACAAGAATTGACGAAAGACAAAGAATTGACTGAATCGGAAAAAGTGACCGTTCGTGCATGGACTACACCAAGTTCTATAGGCCTACCTTTAATTAATTCACTTATACACTAAAAGCAATGAACCATCATCAACTTCAGTACTCTAAGGAACTGGCTTGTGTTGAAACCAGGTAAAAACAGAATTACCTCAATCTTAACTCAACTAGCCTAACGAGTTTCACAGGCTAATAAAATCAAAGAGTATTTGCGGAATAATAATAAGTTTATTACGAAATATATCTTCCAAAATAGGCCAAAGATAAAATAGAAATGTATAGGCAAAACCAAAATGTAGGCTAGTTCAAAAATTTAAACTTGAACTCAAGTTTTAAATTACCATACTACTTAGGCCAACTTTCCGCAATGAAATGAATCAATAGTAATATTTAACCTCAACACACATATGAAAAACAACAATAATAATTCAGCAATGTAACCCTCTTAACCTAAATAATAAATGGTCTAAATCTAATTTGGTTTGGATTTGGTGGCCACCATCCTGAAAATAACAATAGACAATTTACAGAACATGAAACATACACAACGAGTAATGAAGCACTGAGACAACTTATAACTAAAAAAAAACTTAAGCCTAAATACAATAATGCTTTCTCGGTGGCGATGTACCAGTCCAAGACGAGAAGTCCAGACGCGGTAGTGTCCGTGTGGAAAGGGCTAAACTTAATCGGTTCAGTTTATAGTATCACATCACTATGCCAAGGCACACTAAGTCCACAAAGACCAGGGTGAAAGTACACAACCAGTATGGAGATCCGCAAATGTTGTCTCAAGTAAGAGTCTGTGAAGCGTTAATAATTGGTCCCTAGTATGGCCATACAACTAAAAGAAGTGATTTCTGACTTATCTATCCGTTGCCCGCCTTCCAGTCTACGGTATCTCACACCAACGTCCCAGTCTATGTCCAATAAGGTAGTTGACGTGGGCAGCGACAAGGTAGGTGCCTCAAAGCTCTCCAAGGTTGGGTAGTCTGGGCTCGCCCTCAACAGTTCAGATCCGTGGGTAGACCCTACAAAGTACTTAATGAATAGTATGGTACATAAAATAGAGAGTAAACATGATAATTAATAAAGACAGTTAAACAGGAATGTTTCAAAAGGCAAATTGTTAAAAGTTTGAATTGCTCTAATTTGTTTTTAAGGTCTGAATACCACAATATAAATTCATATCAATCAAGCGTAGAAAAGAAATCTTGGTCTGGAAATAGGCTAACTGGCAAAATAACAGTAGTAGGCTATAAGTCAAAAGATATTACAAACAATATTAATTAAAACCATGAGAAGCTCTGACCACAAAAGGTATGAATGAACTATATATAATCAGAAACAAATACTAACCTAACCTAGGCCTACTCTTGGTTCACATGGCCTAACCTAACCTAACCCACATAAAATATCTGGCTGTTGGTAAGTGTTACAGACTAAACATGAAAATATAGAACATGGCAAGTGAATACACTGTAATAAAATTTACCCTGAAATACAAATAGGCTACAATTAAATAAGTGATTTCAAAAAGATTTAACCTAACTTACAGTTTTAATGAATGATGAGTGAATGAAAGTCAAATGACATAAATGAAATAATTTCACTGACTGAGCACTAGGCCTACCATAGTTTAACCTCATGAAAGAAAAACACATTTGTTAGTTAACTTCGAGAGTGGATTGCAACTAGGCCCTATTTAATTGGCAAATTCCAATTGAGACACAAAGCGTATTAATAAAATCGGTTCGGAAAATATATGGCTAAAATGACATGATACAACATTTACATAAATTATTTTAAGGATAGAAGAATGACAATACACGTTAAATGGAGAGGCTGACACATTAAATGATAAATAATAACTAACAAATTTAATTTAAGACAAACCTAACTGTGATTACTAGGCAATTGGAACTAGATTAATTAACCATAACCTGTTGTAACAGTTTTTCCAGTTCATTCCTGAGCATTACTAAAGACCACGTTTTGAGTTACATCAAACATTTTCAAAGTTACACAAAATAATTAATTCACCCATTCTAAGATTTAAATTTGGATAGAAAACAAAATACTTTAACAACCTGGAAGTAACTAAACAGTACATTCACATTTTTCGTCGATTTCCTAGCTTCCATGCATGAATGGTCAGGAGCCTAGCCTAGGCCTAGCTGAATTTGTCCAACAAAATTTTACGTTTTAAAACTTTACTTTAATTCACCAGAAACATCAAACACAAATTAATATGAATACAATTGATAAATATAAGGAAATTTTTGTCTGCCTTACCTCTTCGTATTAAAACACTTCCTAATAGAATCCTCCAACGGAGTAGAAGTAAAAGAGGGTCATCGTGGGCAACGTCTTGTTTCTTCAGGACTTCACACCAAAAAGGCCTAATCATTCTCCAAATTAAGTAATTTTTCCGATGACTCATCTTCTAGTCCATTCCACTACGATTTGGATTGAAGCTTGTTTTTTTTTTGTTTTCTCACTCCTTGGCAGGCAACGCTTGTGTGCGCTCAAGCCCTCTGGTAGTGGACAGGTTTGTCGGGGCGCGCACCCATCAAACAAATAATCAATGTTTAGGTGATCAGCCTAAATCTGTCGGGTGGCCAGGAACCGAGCGTTACACATACCCCCCTACCAAAAAGGGAATTTCCTAAATTTCCTTCAATTAAAAGTATGGCTTCAAATCGCTAACGTGCCAGTTGCCAATTGAGTTTCCATTGGAATCCTTAAGTTGGTATACTAATTTTG